AGGATATATTGTAATGTGGCCAAGAGTAAAGCAAAGCAATGGTTTCAAAGACGGCACGGCAGCCACGTTTCACTGCAGTGGTTTGATGTAAGGCGCATGGAAAACAATCTGGGATTTGTTGTGCAAAAATAGGCCTGAGAGTTTTAATCTACTCAGAGCTTTAAGTCTGAATGTATGATTACATGGCATTAACACAAGTTTGTATTCATTAATGACCATGCAAAGTGTTAGGGACTCTGTGAGGCTGTACTTAGACATTGTAGTGCTTTCAGCTAAAGCTTAATATGCTCACATGCTCAAACTGACAATGCTCACATGTTGATGTTTAGCAGCTGTAAAGTTCATTGTAGCTTAGCATGGTGGCACGTGAACAGTTTCCAATTTACATTTAACAATAAGAAAAGCTAAAGTTGATGTGTATAGCAGATTTGTGGATATAAATTAAAGAAATAAACAAATTATAAAAAGAAGAAATCGACTTTTGACTTTTGATGTTTGGATACATGTATATGTTGAATGGACATAATAGTATATTGAATTAGCCCATGTCCACAGCAGGGAGAGTAGTTGTGACTTGTTTATCGATTGCTTTCCATTCATAAATGGCCCAGATCATGTTCCTATTGTTCTTTTAGTTGAAATAGTGCTGTGATTCTCTTCATCTCTGACAAAATGTGCCAATGGTTTCACCAGGGACTTGAAATGAGGCTAATAATAATGAACGTTGCAGCAGAATCTAGGTTACGCTCGTGTGATTTGGGTATTGAGTACATCCTGAAAGGCCTGCAGGTAATCTGCAAGACTAGAGGACAGGAGCCTTGTGCTTAATGAAATAAAGAACATGGATTTTGTTTAATACTCTTCTTGACTTAATAGACCTGGCTTTAGCCTCGTTTATAATGCAATCTAACTAGGTTAACTGCTCTGATTCTATCATCTCAGCCAACCTTCACATGGAAGGATCCTCATGTAGCCAAAATGATAACAAATGTTTTCCACTCTAATGGGACATCGCTATTTCTACGCAGAGAACTGGGTGTGCAATTGTGTCAACTGGGTCAGAATAATTCATTATGGTCACTGGCCATTTCTCTGCAGACAAGCCTGGCTGCTGACTACTGATTGAAGTAGCAACTGCTTTGTTAATGGGGTTAAATTAAAGACAACGTTGAACTCTACCAATTTCAAAGACTGTGTCCCAAATTTAAATACATTTTATACTAAACGAAAATGAGTCGTTTGTGTGAATCAGACTGTGTCTTTGGAACTGATTTTATGTTTTCCTTTGAGCATTCTTTGTGTCGCCTCGAAAGAAGTGCATACACTTCTGCAAAGCTTTTAAAGTAATAAAGTAAAATGAATCATTATATATTATATCATGAGACTTTTCATAGTGCTTCTGGCATGTAATTAAATTGGCAGCTAGTCTTTAGGACAAATGAAAAAGATGATCCGACAATTCAGTTGTTTACTGTCTACTTTTCACAGTAATGAGACATTTATTTAAAAAATATCTTTTGGAGTTTGTGAAACAGTCTGCTAACCATGAAATGTAATGTCTGCAAAATGTAGGCAGATTCTTACAATAAACAACAAAAGAAGCCTGCAAACACAGAAGATGTTGCAATAAGTTGAAATCTCCCTTACACGCTCTCTTAAATGAACACTGCAGGCCATGCAGAACAAACTAAAACATGTAGCAACTATCCAATAAAAACGATGTGTCACTCAAACAAGAACAGACCTTTTCCATTGTGAGCCTGCAGGCTATAAAGCACTGATCAGAGCATTCTTGTTTGCTGAATGTGGTGGAAACTGGCAACATGTCAGAATCATGTCATGAAGTAGGAACTCTGTATTACAGTGATGCTTCTTGCTGTTTTCTTGCAGGAGAAATGAAGGCTAAAAGGCAGGAAACATACACAAACACACACATGGCAGACTGGCCATGAAAGCAAAAAGGCGGTGCATGTTTACGCCAGCATTTAAGGGTGGGAACGACACAGAGTATGAGGTAGCCTAAATAAAGAAGACATGGAAACCACACGGCCAGAAAAGCCCTAGTCTCAGCTATCAGAGGCAGCAGCTCGTGACACCACAAAGCCAGCAGACGACCAAACGCCCTGCTCCATCCCAGGTCCCGTATCATGACACACATATAGGTCAGCAGTGCTAAAGCATCTGCAAATCTGCAGATTATCTCTGCCGGGGGTTTTCATGCTCTAATCAGAATAAATCCCCTGAAGTGGAGTTCAATCTTTAGTGGAATACCAGTTTGACCTACAGATCTGAAATGGGTGGTGCAGGGATGAGTCCTAGCATTTTGACACTTTGTTTCCTTATTCTCAAAGTCGATTGTTATTGAATGTTTGACTGTTTTTTTGGACATATTCCTGAAAATAAGGTCGGTAGCTAATACAAGCTTCCAAGATTTTTACACTTTGTTCTACGCCATAAAATAAGTAAATACCTAAATAGCACACACCCAGTTCTCTGCGTAAAAGTTGAAATTTCCCGTAGTGTGGAAAACATTTGTGACTAAATGAGACATGATAACGCCAAACATTAGCCGCCTTTAGCTTATTGGTGGTGATGTGAAGTCATGTGACCGTTTATTTAAAAAGGTTGTGTAGATTATCCTGCTGAACAAAGACGTGTTAGGTATTAACAAGTGTTTGACAAATATCTTATATATATAGGGCAATATGTTATTGTTTGTATGCATTTCTAAATGTGTGTTGGCATGAAAAAAATCTGTTATAAACGTATTCAGCACGCAGGGAGAGAGAATAAAGACGTATAAAACCCCTATGCAAGCATTTCCCGCAGTTGGAAGTGATTATTAAAGCTGCAGGGGCCGTCTTTACTGCTCCACTGCTGGGCCTGCACTTTGTTTACTAAGGTAGCTACGAGCCAGCCACGCCTGCAGTAACTATGGCGGGGCCAGCAGCTTACTTGCCTGATCCGGCCTCAGTCTTGATTTGAGATGATTTATCACATAAGCAGGAATTCATAATTGATGGTCCCTTAGGGTGCTTAGTGTGACAACGAGTTACGGAAGAGAAAGAGGGCAAGTTTAAAAATAGCCAGGACACCAACCATGGTCTCATCCATTATTAAACACAGCGCAGGGCTCTGATATGACATCCATTATGCCATTTCACACAATGTGGATTAAAACTGAATAAAACATCTACTATTACACAATATATAGAATGTGCTCCACTATACTTGGAAGAAGAGTAACACTTGAGACTCTATGAAAACGTATCCTTCATTGACAAAATACTTCCTCCATCCTTTTGGATTCAATTCATGCATCACAGCTCAACCCAAGGCCAACCAACCTGCTTTTTCCAAGGAGAAATCTGAGCCGTTGACAAAATTCTCTGATGTCTAGTATACTATATATATATATTTGCTTTTACCATACCAGCCTGTCAGTTTCCATGTCGAATGGGCAGGGGAAACAGCTGCACCATAAGTACACAGTCTAAAATAGAGGGGCAGCAGAAGTACTTTCACACTGAAGTACTATTACAGGCACATAATGGGACCCAGATGCATACCTTGTGATCTGAAAGTACAAAGTTTAAACCTTTAAGTACAGATTTCTGCTAATACAGTCTGAATTTAATGAACAGTTGCCCCAATAACTTAAAGGGACATTTGTTTACTTGTCATGGGTAGTGCTACTAAGCATCTGAAAACCATGATGCCATCACTCAACTTGACTTTGAGACTAAATAATATAAAACAGGAAACCTATGTGACAAATAGGAGGTGTAGAGTTTGATGAGAGTAACTGAAACATAGGGACACCCTGATAATGCAAGGGATTTGATCAATAGGCAATAGGCCCAATCACAACTGGTTTGCCTTATTTTAGTGACGTTTTTAGTCTGAAATGTCTTCGTAGCAATGCTTCAAGTTAAGCCCTATTGAAAACAATTATCACTGATCATTGGAGGAAGGCTGGTGAAGGATAATGAGATTTTGGTAATTTGCTACTGGTAATCTTCCTCCTGTATACAATCCCTTGGCAAGAGCAGCCAGAGTGAACCATTACAACATTGGAGAAACATATAACATGCAAAAAAAACATATTTTGAATAGTTCAAACATTAGTTAATTCAATGCAATATTGACACGCCCGTCATTTTTTTCAACTAAATGCATAACATCTGCTCCACTTGGCTTCTGAGCCAATTGCTTCACTGCACTAAGAAGTCAATGATGCACAGTATGAGTGTAACATGATGAGCCATGCCCAGGCCCAATACAAACTCCTTAGCACTAAACAGGTCTCTTGAACACTGGTCATGTGACAACAGGCCTTTGAAAGAAACCTGCGCAGTCTCAGCCATACATTATATCAGCTAGTAAAGTTTCATTCTACTGAATTTATACTTCACCTTAAGTGAGCTGGCACTGTTTTAAACTGATGTTATTGGTGTATATAGGATACACAGACCATGTCAATATAACTTGACAGTTGAGGTGGATTTGATGTCTCCCAGGTCTCAATATAACTGAGATTAAACTGTCTGCGTCATTTCATGACTTTATTACAAGATCAGTGAGCGCACTGGGACCATGGAGAGAGACAGCAGCTGTTTCTGTCTAACCTATCTGGTTGCAAGTTGCACCTGGGGGGTTCAGGTGACAGGATGAATTAAAGAAGTATGCAGGCATTTGTGTGTGTGTGTGTGTGTGTGTGTGTGTGTGTGTGTGTGTGTGTGTGTGTGTGTGTGTCTCCAGAGCTGGAGGTGTATATTTCAGTTACCTGGCAACTCATTTGAGAAAGTTGTAACAAAAGACACCCTGCAGAAAAAATGCACCACAAGTGTCACCATAACTATACAAGTAATTGTCTTCAAATAAATGATGTTATTCTGCTTATAAATTAAGAGACTATGGTTACAGACGCCATAGTTAGCAAGCACCTGCATGCAGTCTTCTTGTGAGTGCATAACAGACGGCGGAGTTTTTTCTCTTACCATCAACACTGACGTCCTCACAGCCTCGGAGACGCTCTGCCTCAGCTCTGCGGCGGTGCCCGGTTTGTTGAGCCCCCGGGCAAACTTCCTTGCCTCAAGTGGAGCAGAAGCCATAATATATCCCACCTTTCATTAGACAGTCTGGTACTGAGGAGATCAGACTTGGAGGGCTGTCCCAAGCGGCGGTACGAAGGTTAAAATCCTGCGCTCCAGGCTGTCCAACGTGCGTAAATGCACACTGGCGCTGTGTTATCCGGACATCACGCTTGTCTCAAACTTTACATTAGCACCGCCATAGCTGTATTGGAAACAGTAGTCCAGAAGATGACTTTCCTTGTCAACTGCAATCCGAGAGCACCATCCAAAGCCTACGCTCTATCCCGTCGGCGGAGGTCCCTTGCGCAAAATGGCACGCCCCCCTTCCCAGTGTAATAATGCCCCGTGGGATAGGAATGAAAACTAAGTCGTCCATCATATTTGGAGGATATACGGAGGGGCTAATAAGTGCCACTCATGACTGCATAGAATAGGTGATATACTATATAACGACACTGCATTAACTCTACTTTGTGGCCACTTTATGATATTGTCCATCTTCTGCAATACTTTTTCCATAATAATAGTAGGGAATATTAAAGCAATTTAAACAAATTGATGGCTACATTGTGTACCAATACAAGATACATAAAGTATTTCAGTTGCAATAAAAAGTATGTTGAGGTTATATAACTACAGACTGCACACTGCTCTGCCGTAGGCCCAGGCTTACATTGCCACCTGCTGGAATAATTATTCTTTTAACTATACGGTTTGTGCTTAGGGCTTTAAACTCTGTATAAAGTTATTTGACCACGCGGGGGCAGTAAAGTAACACTAATACTTGTTTTAAGGTTTTAACCAATAAAGCCTTTATCTGCGAAACATTCAAATATCAATGTAAATAATAATAATACTTGATATGTTTTGTTGTGTTATTATTGTAATGCTTATGTAGCCTATGTGCATATGTTGCCCAGTGATGTAGCCTATATCCCATGTTTTCGCATTAATTAATGTATTTACAATAATAAATGGTTATGCAAATTACTGCAGGAGTTACATACCATTACCGACATGTTGCATTTAGAATGTCTATGTTGTTTTATGATGTCAATCTAAGCTAAGCTCTACAGTGTTTACAACAAATAGAACACGGAAGGACTTTGCAGCCTAATGCCTAAATGCAGCATATGTTTCCAGGTTGTTATATCCACAGTCTGCGGCACAGCGGCGCTGCACCACCCCTCCTGACTGTAGGACTGTCCTCCACCCCCAACACCACCCCCAAAAGCAACCTGATACCGGAGACGAGCGGTCCAGACAAGCCTGTAAACGAGGCGTTCCCCGCCGCCCTGCCTGTCTGTCTGCCCAGCGGAGCTCCAGACCGTAAATGCCAAACGCTACTGACTGCCTAGGGGAAGATCCGAGCCAGAGATATCCAACCCCTAACCCCGTCGTCTGCCACATCGGGAGTACGGATCTCCGTCTATCGCAACCCAGAAGAAGATCACTGTTGGCGCCGTTGACTTGTGACTGATCCCCCCACCCCCCCTACAACGATCGGGACCCGTAGAACTAACTGGCTAGCTGTTAGGCTAACATCGGTTAGCGTCGATTGCAGTCAGCTTGCAACCTAACCGAGCTAATTGGCTAACGTTTAAATGCCAAATGTTCACCTCTCTTGCGAAAGGGTGGACTATTTTTTTTAAAACGTACAACTGAGAATGGCCTGTACGTACTAATTTTAGTTGTGCATCGGTTCTTTTTGCGATATTTACCTTCTTTGCCTAAGTTTTCTAGTACCAGACAGTAGCCCTAGGCAGCTAGCATGTCAGCTAGCAGATATGGACGTTGTTGGCTGGCTCGTTGCAGATGGCAGATCAGTCAAACAAGTTAGCTTCTCGGTGTATCTGTCCGGGCTGTGCGGGAGTCGATAGCAGGACCAACTTTTATTGACATTACATTTTAGTTATCAAATCACGACAATCGACTCCAACACGACTTTGCCTCTTTTTTGGATCATTTTTCGATGTGTTGTTCCATGACTGAGAGATCAGTTCCAGTTATTGACCTGACGTGAGGAGAAGAGTGTGAAAACAAAAATAAGAGGAGCAGAAAAAGTATAACGAGACTTGAAGGAGCAGCAACTACGAGACTACACTGTCATGGCTGTGAGCCGAATCACGATGAAATCACTCGCTAAATATGGGTTTTGCCTGACGATTCTCCTGACTTCTGTGGCTGGTAAGTGGGTAAATAGTGAATTGATTTTTGTGGAAAGAGGTAAATGCTTCTCGTGAATATATGATGCTTTCCTTTAGGTTCTGATATTAGATTTTGACCAAATGGCAGGTTTGGTGCAGATTTTGTAGCCTGAATAATATGATCTAATCAACCTAAATTAAATGTTTTGAGTCTAGTGTTGATTATATGTATGTATTTCTGTATATGTATAATTAATTATTATTATTATTTGTTGTATTATAATACAGACAGTTAGCCTTAACATCAGACACCATTTTCCAAAAAGATCTCCTCCCAATGTGTTTTATGTGTCTGGAAGATCAGCCTGTTTGTCTGTCCCTTAACTATCCTTTCCATCTTGTTGTCTGTCTGACTCATATCTGGAGTGATCTCTGTAGTTGATCTCAATGTAGTTGAGTAAACCTTCATAGATATCTCCTCTTGAACAGAGTAGCAAGTGTACCCCTGGCTCCTTTTTAATCATTCTGTGTACAAAGGCCTGGAAAAACACTGCCAAACATACCGCAGTCCTTGTCTGCCAAGTTGTGCCCCTGTTTAAGACTTTGGGCTTAAGCCAGGCTTCTGTGAGACCTTGAGCGTGATAAGATAGTAGCTGTGCTGCATAGAGATGTTGGAACTGTGAATGCGAGGGGGGGTGAAAGGTGGAATGTGTGGGAAGACAGGAAAGGTGTTTTACAAGATGGGTCATTTAGGTTGTAGAAGTTCAACATGTTGCTTAGGCTCTGGCAGTGTGTTTGGAGATAGGAGGTCTTTTCTCATCCGGTGTTACAGCCGAATGCGTGGGTGTGAATGTGTGTTTAAACAGCTTCTTAATAATGTATTGTGTGAGTGTGTTTTATTGTTAAAGGCCCTCCACCCATTCACAGACAGGAAGCCCAAGATAATGTGTGCAGTGGAGAGAAATATGTGAGTGGCACAATTTCAACACAATGTGCAGAGAGACCCCATTTGCATTTAACTGAAAAGTGGGAGTCTGATGATTTGTAATCCACATTTAAATAAAATGACAAAAAATTTCTGCAATTCTGAATGTTACAATGTGCAGACAGTATTTCTGATATCCTCTGATTACGAGCTCATACATCAGGATAGAAAAAGCACGCTGCTTTTAGTGAAATGTAGAGAAAAGTAAAGTAGATGAGTAAGGAAGCGAGGTGATTCAGCGAAGAGAGTGGGACATGATGCATCTACTGGAGGGATGAGTTGTCAGTTTGTGACGTATGATCAGTAACGAGGAGGCAGTGGAAAATGCTGAGTGCAATTTTCATCCCAAATCATAATATTCAGCTACATGTACAAATGTAATCTATCATGTCAGCATGCTGAAAGAATCTTATTGCCTTGCTAAACTCACCTTTTATGAGACATGGCATGTAAATTAGTTTTTCCCTGGAGCGCTTTAACGACTACAGTGACTGACAGAGGATTGACATATTCACTCAATAATCAACACAAGGGCGATTAATGGATACTTGTATGCATGCGTGTCATGTAAACAGCCAATAAATTCAAAGCACAGCACCGTGCAAAATGAATTAGGGTAAAGACACGAATGAATGCCAAGTGGTTATATCGCAGTGCCAATTTATTTCCATGATACTTGTTATGATGGTAATAGGAGGTAGTGAAGTATCTAATCAGCTGGAGGTCTGACCCTACACTTTTCCCTTTGAGCCCAATGTTATTGCCCCCCATCACCCCCCTTTCCAATCTCAGCAATTACCTCTGTTAATTTCCTTTTCAGATGTATTTATTTCCCTACACCTTCCTTGTGTTTAACCTGTTCCCAGCTGCTCTTCCGTTCCCTGTCCCCTGTGACTAATCAATGTGTGGGTGTACGCTTGCTGCTCCAAAATCCGGAATAGAAGCGGTTCCAAACACGGCACAAGCTGGCAGAAGATACCTGCCGCATGACCACAGGTGTTCTTAAGTAATGACATTAGAAAGGGATAGACTTTAGCACAAATTCTTATGGAGTAAGGTTTAATGTTGTAGCCCGTGCATGCTCATAATGTATTCATGCACTATTGTCCCAGGTAAGCTTGAGGTTTGGGGTTCCAAAAAGGATTATAGCAGATGTATTATCCCTCAGCATAAAAAGGGCTGCTCATTGGCTCCGCTTGTCCAAACTCTGTAGCTATGTCTCGTGGGCCCCATACTGCAGCGTTGACAGGCCCACTGTTCCCCAACCAGGCCGCTTCTCTCAAACCTCTCCAGCCAACGGGGGACTCTTGAAGCTGTCGGCTCTGTGGTCACATCAGCGTCTCAATAGAAAGGGAAGTTATTGGCTGGAGATTACAGACTTGCCCTCAGTGGCTGTGAGGCTCTTTTTATTGCCAAGGCTAGCTCAGATTGGAGCCTACAACATTTTGTGGAGCCAGGTACTAACTGCTGTTAGCCCTGGCATTTAATCTGGGATTTAAATGGCAAGGCTGGTTGGAGATGACTAAAATGTGAATGCATCAGAATAGTTTAAATGCCAAGTGAAATACATGCTCAGGAATTTTCCCTTTATGATATTGTAGCAGATACAATTTGTAAACTAGCAAAGAAAAAGGCTGTAATATGGAATGTCACTTAAGGTACTTTATTTTGAACACTTTATGTTAATGTCTGTGTTTCAATTAAAAGCAATGATTTTGCCCAAAGCCATGGAGGCCCACACTACCAAGCTGCATCACCTTTAGCACTGAAGCTAATCTGCTGAATGTGCATTATGGTCTGTTGTAGATGTGGGAATTGGACTCAGTATCCACAAGGTAAACAACAGGATAGTAAATGGGTAAAGTAGCTCGTAAAATGTTAAAATCAGTCGTAAAACTTCCAGGGAACCCGTGTTTGGGAGCCAAAATAGTGGTAATATAATGATGCGTACCTATTCGGAGCCAACATTTTGGCATCTGTATTATCACAACTGGAGGAGTGCAATTTAGACAGGAGAATAAGGAAGTAGTTGCAGACGCCAGAGGATATAAAAGCATTATGCCTACTTTGATGCCTTAATATTTAGCACTCAGTCCACAATCATTATTTCGTGAGAAGAGATGACACTGACTGCAGCAAGAAACAGACCAATGAATGCTGGAATGGTGGGGGTAGGAGGCCATTTGGGCTATAATACAGCTAGCATTGTACTCTATTAGATGAACAAAATCGATGTCTGCCTCTCTTAGTACCTTGGTTTGAGTTCTGAGCAGAGGTAAAGGCAAAAGCACATACAATAGAACAGTGTTCAGCCGACCTTCGGGTTTGAAAAAGGAGAAATTAGTGGATGTTTTAGAAAACAAAAGGTGCAGCCTTGAGATGGTAACTCAGAGTGACAGCCTATGATTAACACGAAGCGTTCTCCTTGACTAGCAGAGACAATAAGTCTAGAGCGCGCAAAACATATTGCTCAGAGTATGGATGAACTGTTTTGCTTAAAGTTATTTGTATTTGAATGGATATAAGCTTTTAAAAGAAGGGTAGCGTACTTGTTTCCAACTGCAAGGCTTTAAGGTGATACAGGTGATTGTTTTTGTTATCTCTAGTAGCTTGGATGCCACATTTGAGGATGTTTTTCTGTCTTTTTAGTTGTTCCCTTTACCTTAGGCCAAAAATGTCTTTATTCACAAGAGCTTATTACAGTCGCAGCAACACAAGAAGGTGCAGTTTTCTAGATCCTAGTATCATACTGCTGAAAAGCACCGGTTTTAGAACAATTTTGCACTTTCAGCATTCCTCTGAGAAGCATTCCAAAAAGAAAAATGAGTGGGAGAGCAGAAGATGGCTTTGGATAAATTAGTAAAATGATTCTTCGAAATAATCTCAAACCCTGGTGAGATGTTTTTGTTTTCTGCTGGCACAGTGGGCACTGGAATTAAGGGAAGCACTGCAGCCAAAGTACTGTAGTGCAGTGGCTTGTAACGTATCATCCAACATACACAGAATATATATTGATACCAACAGCAATAAGAGTATAGTCATTTAGTATATAGAGTGTTAGGAAATAATGTGTTGATGTTCTTTACTAATATATTAGGCCCAATGTGGTCTTGTGAAAAATGCCTCAAAAACCATAGAAGGAATATTCTGTTTACAATCAGACAGAAGGCATGAAAAGTTATATTTTTAAAAACACCAGGTCTATGTTTGCAATGCCATAACAGCACCAGTTAGATCAGGTGAAACCCCGTCATACCAGACAACCACAGGCTTGTCAAAACACTATGTATGTAATGTAGACCATTAAGCCTATAGAAGCTGTTAATTTATTCAACAGGGGAAATATGTTATCTATAGAGACTAAATTCAGGTGCAGATTGGAACTAAACTTTTGCTTGCTCATAAATAATCCTAGATTATCCCCCCCATGGTGTGATGGTAAACACCACCTCGGTCATTCTGTCATCTCTGTGTTCATCACATAATCGGGAAAGTTGAGGTATACAGGGAGGGGTGGCGAATATTTGGTAGAAAGCACCGTGGTCAATAATGGAGGCCTTTAAGCTTTGAGGGTCGTTTAAGCCCCAGGATTAGCATAACTGTACCAGACCCAGACAGACACAGACTGAGTGGTGGTGTTTTTCAGGGGGGTGTGCAGTCCCGAGGCAACAGATGGGACAGATTAAAGCCCACTCAGCTCCTCACCCCCCCACACACATCTTTAAAATCAACCAGGAGACTTGAAATTGTGGATGTCAGCAAATACCCCTGTATCTCTTCCATCCTACCTCAGCAACAAGCATGCACCCAAACAGCAGGTACCATCAGTGCTTCTGATGGATGTCCGTGTGCAGCAGCAGCAGCTTGAGCTCGCGCGATGATAAAAACCCAGTGCATGTGGGCATACATAATGCCTCTTTGCATTTTGTGTATGCACAAGTCGCGGCGCAAATCTACAGGGGGGCAAAAGTAAATACCAAGGAGACAATTTAAATGCATACATTTTAGCACAGAATCAGCATGGACTATACATCATGCCAAGTGTCCCCATCAAGCAGGACAGCACAGCTTGCATAATGCTGCGCCTGTGGACAGTGCACTCGTGTCTGCAGGGTAGTTGGTGCGCGCACGGGTGCATCAAGCACGTTTCACCCTAAAGACAAGAATGCCTCCTGCTTCTTGCTGCCCCTCCCATCCTGTGCTTCTGCCTCTAATGTTGAACTCGGAAACCAGTCGTTGAGAGAACACAGCCAACACATCAGTGCACTCTGTGACTTTTAATCAAGTCTAAGACTGCCGTGTCTTGCATCTCTCCAATGGGCCTTGGCAGTAGGAAGGAGAGAGCCAGATTAGATCGCTGTTGTTTTTTAGCAGAGAGGGGAAGGGGGTAGTCTGTGGGGGTGGGAGGGTGCACCGAAGGCCAATTGGGGGAGGAGGCTTAGAGGGGGGAGAGAGATTAGCAAATAACTGGGCCATGGGTAAACTCTCAGCAGTGCCCGCCATCATCCAATGAACAGGCTCGGAGCAGAAAACTACTCTGAAGCCTTTTGATATGACTACCCTCTCTCTCCCTCTCTTTCTCATCTGCCTCGCTCCACTGGCCTTGCCTGCATACTCTGACCCACAATCCAATACTGCAGTGGAAGCCAAAATCACACAGCCGGCTCCACAGAGCAGAACCAGGGACAGAGCCTGCCACGGCCAATCAGAGATACACACAGAGATTGGCTTCCAACCAGAAACGCTCCTAAAACAGAATTAAGGCAAAGAACCAACCACAGTACGGCAGAGTGGCAGACACACCAATGAAATCTGACTACATGAGCGCTCCCATGGCTCAGACTGCAATATTCGTCCCATGATACACTGTCTCTGTTCACTTTTTGGGGGAATTAGGCAATAAATATATTTCAGACGATGAATAGCCCTTTTATAATAAGAATTATCGCCTGAGCTCTCAATTTATAGTGTGCACGTTTGTTACGCGCACCATGGAGCGATTATCTTTTATTATCAGGGTACGTGTCATCTATTTAGTAGTACTCATATGGATGCATTGCTTTCTTGAATTGTATTAATGTAACACAATGTATTGAAAACAGCCCTTTCCCTTGTTATAATGAAGTGCACAATTCAATCATCCTTGTGAATGAAAACCCCAAATCTATTTCTTAAATGAACTTGGGACCTTTTAGCCTTAGTTTCTGTTGTCATGCCGAAGAGCTCTCGTATACCAAGGATTTTTCATAGGGTATTATTTCACAGCCTTGAATAGTAGTACAATTATTAATAATTCATGTCAGCATACAGTATCTACCCAGCTTTGGGAGAGAGACAGGAGATACTCTGCACTATGGATTTTTGTGCTCTGATCCTGGCGTGCAAGGTCAGTCTGTTTGTCTAACTGTCTGAGGGTGTTGTCACCGGTTATGCACTTCCTTTGATTGTTCCTTTAAGTTTCGCTAGAGTTCTTCCTCTACAACTCCTCTCCTCAACTCCACAGCCCTCTCTCCTCGATTTCTGGTTCTGGGAAATAAGACAGGAAGTGTATTCGAGGCGGAAAAGATCATTGTTGAGGTTCTTAGGACTGTGCTTTTTCACAAGTTGTTTGATAGCAGCTACCTCTGTAAAAAATTCATGAAAGTGCATAGCCTCTTAAACGTACCTAAATTGCTGAATTTAAGAATGTAAAAGTTAAAGCCTTTGACACCCACCCCTTTGTATTATTCATTATTCAAGAAGAGAGGAGTTCAAGGGTGCCGTTTTCTTTTGATCAGTTATCCCTCTGCAGCAAGTGCACAAGTTGTATGATTTGAATATCTGGCCATTATGTCTCCCCTGTAATGTTCTGCTGTAGGCTAATGGTAGAGCTAATGGTCATTGTGGAAAATCATGGTTCACTAAGATTAGTTATTTCTCACATGAGCTAAAGGTGACTTTGGGCTGAAAAAAATTCAGCTCTCGGTCTTAACGATTGCGTTTCCCTATCATCTGCCCACTATTTATTTCATGCTTAGTCTGTGGTTAGTAATGTTTTTATAGCTATTAGTATGATTAAAATTAGAACATGCCTTTACGAAATCCACACGACCCACTCTTCACATTGGCATTAATAAGATCTACCGCACAGCATGTAAAAAAAACGATATTTTTAATGCTGGTTATTTCCTAGTTCTGAAACAGTGGGGAACAATATCAAGGGTGAATTTCTGCAGTTGAGTTTCATTAAAACTAAATGATTACTGTTTGTGTTAACTCAATGCCAAATTAATTATAGGCAAAAATTGCATCGTACATTTCGGTTTGGAGTTGAAATCATATCAAACCTTAGCTACATACAGAGGGGATGAAACGCGTAAAAAGCCGAACTCCTACTTGCGCCTACCGCAGTACATGGGCCACAACCTCTAACAACTGAGTCGACGGCGGCCCTTTGTTTTCATTTGAACCCAGAGCATGTTAATGTGCTGTGAATAAACGCAAGTAGAGAATCATCTGTCTCGTGAATCTAAACACAGCAGTGGCCTTGCCGGCTTGTTGAAATTCAGTTTCCTCCTCAAAACAAAAATTCCTCCACATACTTAACCCTTAGTTTGTATTCCTTTCCCACTCTACATGTACACGGTGTGCTTCCCCCTGTAGGCGAAGTGAGTCCCACAGAACAGTAGACAGTTGACGCCCACAGGTTGAGGGCAGCCGTGGCCCACAGTAGGCCAGGGTTGCTCTTTTATCTGAGGATGAGAGCAGCGAAGGAAAGTTGGCGCCCTGCCCAGCAGAGCAACCACTCCATCGCGGCGTCACCCCTCTGCCCACACAGGCCAGCTTGACATCGGGCAGGGCACAGTCACCCCAACCCCCTTCCCGGATGGAGGAAAGGGAGGAGATGGGAGTTACGGGAAACAAACCGGCACATCATGTTTCCCTTATCAGAAATGATCCGGACCGAGTCTATGTACACAAACCCCCATTGGCTCAAACTATTTCTTCCTGGAATAGTTTACACTCTCCCAGATGTTTGCTGCAAATCAACAAGCAAACTGTCCGTTACACAACCTTTTCACTAGAATCACACCATATGAAATTCATCCATTATTTCCGAACACCCAACAAACAATGGCTGTGTGCTGTAATGCATTAATTTAATTCAAGCTGGGAGCTTTAACATGCATGTCAAACATTCATCTATCATTTTCTTATAATTATTTTTCTCATCTTGCTGTTTTAGTTTTGAAATGTCCACTTTGTTTCCGTGCCTCTGCTTGTGTTTGTGTTATGTCCTTCAGGCTAGAGTTTAAATTGGTATCTCTATTGATCTTCGCCTGCAAAGACTGCTGCCTCTCACACGCCAGACAGCTATTTCTCAGCTGTAGATTCTTCTCGTATAGACAGATAATGTGTCGCAGCACTTTATTAGAAAAAGGCTGATGTGAGGGACTTTCATCCACATCTTACAGTTTTCATCGAAAATGTGCATATCAGCACATTTTTCATCCGAAGAATGAGAGAATAATTGTTGAAAATTAATGAAGCTGTTGCTCATTAACACAAAATTGACAAACTGCCTTAGAAATGAATGTGCTTGCCTCTTGTCATCCACCTATTTAATTTACTCTGTGCGACTGCCTCTTATTTGCCTCCTCTGTCTCCTCACAGCGGCGCAGGAAGAGGAGAGGGAGTGTGCCTTCACTGACCAGCAGCAGCAGTGGGAGACGGACCGGGTGGCCGGGAGCGAAGGTCGCGTCTCCCCAGAGAACACCACCATCCGATGTGCCAAGGGCAGCCATTGCTTTGGTCTGTGGAAGAAAAGTCCTCCAGGCGAAGTGCGACTGGTCAAACAAGGTAGGACTTGTATGACGCTTCGGGCAAATTGCGAAAACTGTCGAGAGTAGAACAAAATTCAATTACATTTATAGTAAACATATAGAAGTAGTTATTGGTTGTATCAGAATTTGTATTTTTTTGGAATTATAATGTGGAGGAAAAAATGGGGCAAGCATAAAGAGTAATCTAATTGTTATCGTTTGGTTTTTATTTTCAGCTAGCAACACCATCTGTCAACTCCTCAACTGGCACCAAAAAAAGATGAATTATGTATTTTATGTTGCAGCTGGTAAAAGCAGAGTTCATTTCAGCTACTTCATCAACTACTGGATAGTGTCGTCTATAATAACACAATATCATTTCCTTTTCATTTCTATTGTATAATTACACAATGTAACTATCACGTAAACTAGGCCCCTGAAAGATGCATAAAAATCATTAAAAGGAAATTTTTTACAAATTACTTAATTTTACTCAAGTACAGTATTTAAGTAAATTCACTTACTTACCCTCCAACACCGCTCGGGCTAATAGGAATGATTTAATATCTGAGACGTGATCTTGGTGATAAAACAGAAGTAGGTAATATCATTAACATCATTATCTGTATCCTCAGGTTGCTGGTCTTACCTGGATGACCCCCTAGGTTGCCGTGACGACCGCTGCGTGGTGACCAACCTCCCTCCGCAAATGCAGAATGGGACGTACCTCTTCTGCTGCTGTGGCAGCGACATGTGCAACGTCAACTTCACGGAGGACTTCCCTCCGCCCAGCCCCACCACGCCACAGCCCATCTGTAAGGAAACATAATTATATTTATTTATATAATGTATATCTATATATATATATGTACACGCTGGCACAAATGCAATAGATTTCTAATACGAGCTTGAGTTTCATTTAACATCTTGACAAATAATTCCTCTCTATTCATGATGCATTTTGCTTTTTATATGACCGACGTTCCAACAAAAGCAATTCATCCAAAGAGATTCAAAGCCAGATCTCTCCTTACATTTATTATATGATGACATTTTGTTTTAAACAGGCAATAACAGGGAATTATGTTACTGCTGATCACCTGTTACATTTTGTCAGTTCAACGTCAAGAGTAGGGATGCCAGCAATTATTCGATTATTCGAATATTCGTTAGTCTCCATAATCGAAAATTATTTTTTAAAATTCGATTTTAGTTATATATTTTTTTATTATTATTTATGTTTTTCTTTTTTTTCCTGGCTTAGTTTCAACCAAAATATATAATAATAATCGATTAATATTCGCCAGGGCTGTCCGATTTTC